CCCCCCCTAAAAGGGTTCAAAAACAGGAAAGCCTTAAAGGACTGCCGATCAGCCTATCACTTGGACACCACTCCCCCGCTTACCCCGGGGTTTGAAACTTATATAAGGCAAACATAGCCCTCTTAGTCTGATATAAAGCGATAGCGACAGAGAGATAGGACCTACAGGAAAGCGAGCTAGTTGCTGGTTGTTAAGGATCCTGAGTATTCAGCAGGTAACAATTTGATCTTATTCCTAGTTAACCGATGTTATCAAAAATAATAATTTTATCGATACCCGGAAAACAACCTAACATAACTTATGCGTTAACTGTATATGGAGCTTCAGTATCCGATCTTACTCCTGAGCAGTGTTTTTTACATCGTTGCTATAAGAAGAAATTTACATCAGTGTCCATTAATGTCTTTAATCTTTTAGAAAAACAAGATCGTAGCGTTTACAAAAGGATATCTATTATTATTATTATTATTATTATTAACCTATGGGATGATCAAAGTTAATGCACGGCTAACTCAAAGATCAAAATGGAATTTAGCATGTTAGGAAAACCTTAATCTTAAGCAAAAAAACCCCTAGCTCGAATCAAGGGAGAAACATGATGAAATGCTGAGTCCAAGATTCAAATCCGAGATCCTAGAATAAGAAGAATTGCTGGAACACATTTCTTTCCGTAAGCTTTTTTCCTTCAAATTTTTCTTTGTTTTATTAACTACTTTGGTAACATTTTACTAAGTCATAAAGGATAGGTTATTTTTTTATGAGTTGTCAGTCTTGTTGCACCAATACCGCCGTAGTTGGAAGAACAGAGCTGAATTTTAAAACTCCTAACTTTCGTTTTTCCCAAAGAGATCTTTTCAGCTGTGTTTAAGCGCCGCGGCATTCAAGAGCGCGTGTCATCCTTTTCTTAGATTTAGAATATATAATAAATAATATATAATATAGATAGAATATATGAATATAGAATATAGAATTTGTCGAAGACTTCGACTATTCAGGTTAAATAAATAAATAAATAAAACAGGAAGCCCTTCCCTTCCTAAGCTGCAACTTTAACAAGAAAAATGCTTCCTGTAAATGATTTTCCCTATTTCAAACCAGGTGTCAGCTTGTTAGCCTTTTCTTC